GTCAAAATCCATTTTATTAACAAAAAGAGAGATGCTCTGCTTATAAAATCAAGGCAATTAATATAAGGCAAGAGGCTAAGTTGACATTTACAACTATCTCTGTGGTGTAGTTTGGGCAATTTTTTGATTGAGCAGGCTGTGCTTTAAATTCTCTCTGTTTACAGTGGATACCCGCCACACGTATCATGCACACCAAAGTGCCAACAAACAGTTTAATCACACTCTCCCTGTAATGTTCTGCAAGAGCTTAAATAAGATTTAAGCAACAATTCAATGTAATGTAGTACATGAAATGGAATCCCAATTAATCTCCCATCAAGTTAAAACCCTTCTATGATACACCTTGGACAGCTCCCATYGATGTTAACAATAAGCACTTCTTTAATAAAAAATATAGAAGAAATCTGAGCAATTAATATGGCCAGTATGTCAAATTAAATCACATACCACATAAAGTAACCACAAATAGGATCACCTCCATGAAAATCGTTACTCTTCCTATATCACTCTCAAGCTCTAGGGATGATTAACCATTAACATGGCACTACTTCAAACAAGTGATGTTTTGAATCTTGTAAATGAATTGTGAAGGGTAGGAGGTTTTAATAGGGTAGACATTAAGAAAGAACCTGATAGTTTGGGAAGACTATAATCATATGGATATTTTTGCAAACTTGGGCCCTTGGGGGAAAATAATTTATCCCTACATTAATTTATAATTTGAATTTTAAACCCCACCAACCTCTCAATAAATTTTAAAAGGTAAAAATCATCTACTTAAATAAATACGTCCCAAGATGTACTAAGAAATTAAACCCAGAAAACTCAGCCAAAATGAATTTAGGGACACAGTCAGAATCATGCATCTGCAATCATTTTTTAGTAATCAAAGTAAGACCAATTAAATATATTATTATAAATATACTGCACTGAAAACAGACATAGGCCTAAAGATGAATCAAAAAGAAACAAATATATAAAGTCCATGGTTTATACTGCTGCTCTCAAAGATAAGTACTTATAATGCTCTAAATAGATGGCCAACTATGACTGAATTAATGTGYATTCATTTTCATAAATGTCCTTGAATTCTCTAAGTATGAAATTTCACACTGGAAGGTCAGATTCTTCAAAAACATGTATGCTGGTTACTGAGTGGCAARAGTTCTTAATTAAACAACATATCTTAAGGTAGAAATTGTAAATAGAAATCTAACCTGTTGAAATGAAAAAGGAAAAAAAAAAAAACATGGTTTATTAAAGCAGGCAGTGCCAGATCTTTAAACTTAGTTTGTGGTTTCAAACATATGCCTGGTGGTGGGGGTAGGGGATTGTCTAGATGCATTGTTTGGGGAATGTGGTAGCCTTAAGAAAAATCATCAAAGACAATTCTTGAGTCAACATGAGTACATATATTTAGGTCCGATTTGGTGTTTCACATGTGTTAATCTAATTATAAAAGTAGAAGGATGAGTGTAAAACCAATGCCTGGTTAAAATCCTCAGATAAGTACACACATGGTCATTAAAACATCAAAGTARTGATCCTGTTAGAACCCATTTCATATATCTACATGGTTCTGATGGGAGGGACCCAAACCCAAAAAGGTGATGTATTAAAAGTTATAGTTAACAATGTGTTGTTTAGTTCAAGGGTTGTCACTTGAGAATATGATAGCTAAYCAGGCAAATTAATTTAAAGGACACAACTACTAAAATTGTCTACTTTCATAAAGTGCAAAGAATTCTTATGAAAAACATGTAGCTTTGCAGTCATTTTACATGGTGGGTGTTAATTCTGCTCAAGTTTTACTCTGAATTGTTTTGTTCTACTCATTTTCCAATTAACAAGAACAAAAATATCCTTTTTATTTATTTTTTTACTTTTTCTCTTTTATTCTTCCTAAAACACCAAAGGTTTTGTAAGCCCACAATCTTTACTACATGTTACAACTATCACTGTTAATAATCAAGTCTGCATGATAGAAATTTATTTCATTTTGATATAACTGTTTAACCTAAAATGGATGCACATTAATTAAAAAGTTAAATATGTATGTTAAATCAGTAAGAAATTAGAAGTTATCTCACCCAATATCAGAATTCCTAGTTTGATTCTCCTTGCTATTTTTAAATACAAAAATTTGGGAAGGAGAGAATACTAAATAATTTGCAAGTAATCCTTTTAAAGGCAAATTGCCTTGAACGTCCTCCTGCACAATACTCATGGTAAGTCCCCAACTGTTTTAAGAGGTAACTAACATATCAACAAAAAAGAAATACAGCAGCCCATGGATCACTACTAAAACCTTGAATGAGGAGGCACTGTGTTTCCAGGAACTTCGGCAAATTCGTATATGCATTAGGTATCACACCACTGATAAGTATTTCAARTAGTAAAGGAATCTACAAATTATTTAAGGTGATTCAGTTTACAAGTCAATTTATAATCCTCAAAATTTTAAACTGATACATMTATTCTTTTCATTAAAAAAGAGAACTTTTCACTTGTTAAAAGTCAAACAAAAATTATTCACCCCARTATGATGTTATATCCCAATTTACTTTCAGGTATGAAGGCTGAGAGATGCTACGTATAAGAGCCTCTAAATTCATTTCTTAAAAAAAAAAAAAATACCAGTCAAGTTAAAGAGTTGCAAAGAGGAGAAAATTCAAGCAATGAGATGAGTTGGAAAGAAGCATAACTTCTATTTCAACCTATCTTTTACTSGTCTTCAATTCCTATTCATAGAAGCCTAAATGAAACAGAAAAAAARGGGGGGAGGTAGAATTCAACTTCAAGTGCATAGGCTCATTAGCATAACTGGGTGACTTGGAAGTCTATAATCAGCTGCATGCTAATCAATCAACCAACAAGTTTTCATTAAACACATACTGGCTTTCCCACATTACCCTAGGGTCTGCATATCAGAGGCAGCATCTGGTTCTTTCTACTCTAGACTTTCTGATCCAGAATTAATCTACACCAGCAACATCCTATAATTCCTTTAAAAAAAAGCTTTCTTTTCCTCTCTCCAAACCTGATCTGAAACACAGTGCCCCTACTTAAGCAAGTAGCTTAAGCGCTGGAATGGGATGAAYATCATAGAAATGGTGAATTAAAAGCATTTATTTGAACAAGCAGGATCAGCCAGGGAAATTCTCAATGGAGTTGAAAGTGGGCAGGGGCATAAGAGATGTGAAATCCTGGTTTATGGCAAATGACACAGAGGAATGCATGTTTTATGTTCAAAGTCTGCCTTAGGCTATGAAAATTCTCCACATCTATCTACCTATGAAGTCAAACAAACAGGGTTCCCATATTAAGGTTCTACTTCTGCAGGAGAGGAGGCATTTGCAGCGACCAGGGGAAAGGAAAGATTAATAATGCAATGSAAAAGTTGGTCAGGAAAAAGAGAGGACATGAGTAACAGAAGAAAAAAGATCCCTGGAAGGTGAGAAGTCCAAAGTAAATCATCAATAGGTCGACCTTACTTTTCAGTATTTTCAGCCAGCAGGTTTCTTTAACACTAGAGGGCATGAAAGCAAACAAGCCAAGGAAAGGGAAGACTTGGGGCTGGTGGAGAGGGAGGAGACCTAAGCAAAGGCATATTTCACATAAAGCTGGAATTTTTGGAAACCGCAAAGAAACCTGAAATTTCAAGGCATTAGGGTCAGCAAGTATCTTCAGCAAGGCAAATAAAATTTCTGGTAAGCCTGATGATGATCTCTCTCAGGTTCATTGCTCTCCKAAAAACTCAATGAGTGGAAGGCAATTTAATTAGGCATGCCTGCTTGGTCCCCAAAGCTCCGCTYAGCTGCTAGTAACCCCTTTGCTTCAGGAAGGCTCTTACCCTTTGAAATTAGTTTTCCCTGAACCCCAAATGTTCTATGTCTGCCCACACTAACTCTTCTCCTGCAGCTGCCTCTAAAGCTGGAGATGTAGACTCTCCCCCTGGAAATTCAACTCACCTTAGTCAAAAAAAAAAAAAAAAAAAGTGAGGGGTACAGCACGAGGGGCTTATACAGTTTTCTAGTCGGAACCAGCAACATCAGTGCACTTGGGTTCCCAGCAGCACAGGGCCCTCCAACCCTGGGTAGGGAAGCTAGTCCGACGCCCTCCACTCTTCCCCTTGAGCTCCTCATTCAGCTCTGACAGCTTTGACAAGGGCAAACTGCCTCCAACCTGTGTCCTCCCGGGCCCAGAGCAGAGGTCTCAGCACCTGGAAGTGCCCAGGATGAGTGCTCCCCTGACCAAACGCTTCAGGATTTGGGGGCAAGGGGACAACAGAGTAGTAAGACAGAGCTGGGCAGCGAGAAGCAGAAATAGAGAAAAAAAAAATGCTGCAAGACAGAAAGACATGCAAAGAGAATTACAGAAACACAAAGCTATCCCAAGAACGACAAGGGGAAACAGAACGAAAGAAAAACAGATTCAGGTCTGAGTGCAGAAGGTATCAAAAACCAGAGTCAGACAGACAGAAATTGAGTGAGAGAGACACACACGGAAAGAATGAGAGGTGTCTGAGCACTGAAAGAGGTAAAGAGAGGCAGAAAACGAGGCAGGCTAATGTCCAGAGAGACACTCAGGAACCAGAGTGTGCCGGGTGTCAGATGGAGAAACAATGTAGGCACCTCAAACCCGAGCTTCCCGCAGCTGGTGGGAGAAAGTTGTCCGAACCAGGAGACCGATCTGCCCCCGCTGCTGAGAGCCGCCAGGGAGCAGATGGGGACCCCAACCACCAGCGAAGGGAGGGCAGAGACAGAAAGTTCCGCGCCTCTGGATTCTCCTGCCGCACCTGCAGCCTGGAGCAAGCGTACTCCTAGATCCCAGGAGACCGCCTCGCCAGGTCCGCCCGCGCCCCTTCCCCTGCCCTGGGTTCTGCTCCGTASCCTCCTGGCACTCGCTGGGGGACTTTGAGGCACCCAGCTCCGGCACTCCGGCAGACGGAGGGGGCTCGTCCCAGACTGTCACGAAGAGAGGGAGCGAAAGAGAGAGACCTGCTATCGTGGCCAAGGATCCCACGAAGAGAGAAGGGCGGTCCACGCACTGGATTCAGCCTCCGATCAAGCCCGGCAGGCGCCGACCAGCTGCACCCAGTACACTGCTCACCAAGCCGGCGCTCACCTGGATACCGCGCTGGCCCGAGAGTGCCGCTCGGTGCGCAGCCCCAGCTCCCGCCCGCGCTCTTTTCACACTTCCTCTCAAACCGTGCAAGCCGGCTCCGGCCTCGGCCAGCCCCAGAGAGGAGCCCTCATAGCGCAACGGCGGGCGGTAGGACTCCGCGAGCGCGCCCAGAGCGGGCGCCAAGGCCGAGGAGGCACGAAGACCCTGTGAGGACTCCTAGCACATTGTCACCTCAGCAGAGCCACCGCCACCGCCGCCGCCTGGTCACTTCGCCCCGGCCCCCGCCCCCCTCCCACCCCAGCCCGCCGCCTCCCAGCCCCTCCTCCTCGCGCGGTCCCTCCCCCTCTCGTAGCCCCAGCCCAGAGGCCTCTCACTGGGCTAGTATCATTTACGTAACCAGCACCCCCAGCCCTCCTCCCTCCTGGCTCCTGCTCCTCCCCGAGCTGAGGCAGTGCGCACCAAGCGCGCTCCAGCTGCTCCTGGAGCTGCCGCTCCTGCGATGTGCACAAGTCCCGCGATACTTGGCAGGCACGGCCCCCAAGAGCGACTGTGGGGTCAGCTTGTCGTGCTAGAGAGAGCCTGGCGACCCCCGACCACTCTGGGGCCAAAGGGTGCAAAATCCAGCTTGCACACACTGCCTTCGCCCAATGCGCCAGCGAGCCTCTTAGTGGGGAGCTAGGGGAAGTTCCAGCAACCCCACCCTTGCCATGGGCTCTGCGGTAGAGTGATGCTAGGAGAAACTTAAGGTTTGGGCTCTCATGTACAAACTGAAAAGACGAAAAGACTTGACCTCTTGTCCATCATGGATCATGCACTCTGACAGGATTCACCTAGATTTTTTTTTTTTTTTTCCCTGTTTGGCATCGTTAGCTGCTACTGCCACCGAATGTTCTATAAGAGCACTGGAAACGCAGAGCTCTTCGGTGTACTCTTAAATATTTTAGGTTGAGGTAAAGAAAAAAGTGGGGCTTTGAATTCCTTTCTCAGTGAGGAAGGTGCGATAGTTAACACAGACTGGTATACACATCTAAGTACCTGAACGCTTGCATATTTTAATGTGTAGCATAGCAGCAAATTCAGCGTACTAAATGCTATTAAATTAAATGTAAGGAAGGATTGTCATACATCATAACACCAGGAATTTTGGAAATTTCTATTTATTTAGCTTATGAATTCCATTTCTGCTATGAGATCACTTAGCTCTGTAAGGCATGTTGAGAAAAGCTATGGACCAGCAGGTTTAAGATTCAGGTACTGTTAGTATTTGGAAGACTTGGGACTAATGCCCAATGCCATTAGGAGGAACTCTTAGGAAATTGAGATTGTTTTGTTCAAATCTCTGCTTTCTCATTTATTCACTGTTGGCTCTTGGTTAGTTTTGGCCCATGACTTTTTTCAGTCTGTTTCCTTATTTGTAAGGAGTGACAAAGAACCTTTCTTCTTTTCACAGTGTCTTGTCAGGTGACTTATGGTTTATTTTGCAGAGTTGGAAGGGGATATAACAGCTACTTCAAAAGTATTAAGAACTATTTTATACAAACTTGATACTATCTCCAAGGAGTATGTTCATGATCATCTTGATTATATTAAGTAAAGGCAATGTCTAGAAATGTTGGCTTTATATCTTTTTGTGAATCAATTATTAATTTAAATTGGTATACTAACTACATTTAATGCCTCTTCCCACATCGTCTCTCCTGCCTCTCCTATACCACCATGGATTATGGAACATCAGCAGGTTATCTATGGGGTCACACCTATTTGGAATACAGAGGCATCTTTAGTCCCAGAGTTCCAAATTATCCTGGGAAGCAAAATGAAACCCTGACTCTAAAGCAAAACAAATATTAATATTTATGAAACATGTACCAGAGGTGCTGTCTTAGCCAACTTTTTCACCACTGTGACTAAAGGACCAGTCCAGAACAACTGTAGAAAAGTTTTCTTTAAGGGCTCACAGTTTCAGAGGCCTCAGTCCATAAACGGCTGGCTCCATTTCTCAGAGCTCAAGGTTAGGCAGGATATCATGGTGGAAGATTGAGGCAGAGGGAAGCAGCTCACTTGATGATCAGGAAGCAGAGAGAGAGTGACTCCACTCTTCAAATACAAAATATATACCCCATAGCCACACCCTCAATGAACCAATTCCTCCAGCCACACCCCACCTGTCTTCAGTTACCTCTCAATTAATCCCTTCAGGGATTAATTCACTAATTAAGTTAAGGCTATAGCTTAATCATTTATTCTCCAAACCTTGCATTGTCTCACACATGTGCTTTTGGGGGATATCTTACATCCAGACCATAATAGGTGCTTCAATGCATGTGCGAGGGCATAGGATCTCACTCATAACACCACAAATCTTGGGAAATTCAATTTATTTAACTTATGACTTCCAGTTCTGCTGTAAAATCACTTACCTCTATATGGCATGTTAAGAAAAGCTATGGGCCAGCAAGCAAAAGTTTGGAGTTCTAATTCTGGCACATCCATTTATCAGTCATATGTCCTCCCTCAGAAGTCATATGAGCCCCATCCTTACGTTCTTTATCTCAATAAAATGGAGCTATCCCGTTTTCAATCTTCTTAGTGATATTTAACTTCAGTGGCATAAGTTATATGTGTAACTGGGTATTTATATAGCACCAAAGTGTCTCCCTGTAAATTATTAGATTTTGCTGAATAACACACCATCTCAAAACACATTAGTCTAAATCAGTAAACATCTACAATGTCTGAAATTCTGCAGGTTGTCAAATAAGTTTTCAGTCCTGGCTGGCTCAGTTTGGGTCATCTATGTCTTGACAGGCACTTGTGGCCCTTTTTGTAATCTACTATGATCTACCATGGAGTCTAAATTACAGGAGAATAACAAATTACTTGCAGTGAGTAAATCTTGTAAACATCACTTTAAGTCATTAAAGTGAAAATCACCAATAATGAGACGGACATTAATGATTGAAATACTGAAAAGTAGGCCATATTACTTATTGTTCCAGAACCCCCAAAATGTGTAGTAGAATATAATTCTGAGGAAGGAAAGAGAAACCCAAATTAAGGGGAATTCTACAACATATCTTGTCTGTACTTTTAAAAATGTCACTGTGATAAAAATCAAGGAAAAGCCGAGGAGCTATTCTAGACTGGAGGTGATTAAAAATATGAGAAGGACTACTAACTACAATGTGTAATACAGAAATAGATACTGAACTTGGGGGAAAATAGCTATAAAGGACACTATTAGTACAATTTGCAAATATTATTCTATATTTTAATGATTTATATTTAATTTGTTATAAACTATAAATAGTTTTATATCAGCATTAAATGCCCTAATGTTGATAAATTTACTATACTATCTATGAGAAAATGCTTGATCTTAAGGAATATATAAGGAAATATTTTGGAGTAAAAACATACAGTGGTTACAATATATTCATAGATGATTCAGAAATATCTACAGAGAAGATGACAAAGCAAATGTGAGGACATTTAACTTTAGGTACATTTGGTTGAAGAATGTGAAATTTTTGTTGTAATTTTGCAATGTTTCCTTAAGTTTGAAGTTACTTTTTTTAAAAATGGGAGGGGCAGTCTTTGCTTATCTCACAAGAAGATTAATATCATAGTTTATGAGCACTTAAAATAATAAGTCACAATGTACATTTTGAAATAGTCAACTAGAAATATGTATGTATATATGTACATATTTTGTACTAGCAATTGAACCCAGGGATACATAATCACTAAGTCACATCCCCCATCCTTTCTTTATTTTTGAGATATGGTCCCATTAAGGTTCTTGGGGTCTTGGTAAGTTGCTGAGGCTGACTTTGAACTTGTGATTCTCCTGTCTCAGCCTCCTGAGTCTATGGGATTACAGATATGTAGTTCCACTATGCCCAGCAGAATTTATCTTTTATCAGAGATGAGCCATTGCAAATATTTGTTTAGAAAAATGAGATGACTAATGCTGTACAATTAAACGGCTATAAAGCATATAGACACTTTAGATGAAGAATATATCAAAGGCAAGGATATGAGTTTAACAACTACAGCTGCCCATTCTGATTGAACAAGGCCCTAATAAAGTGGGAAGTAAGGTCCAAGGCCCTAATTAAAATGGGAATGAAGGATGAGATGGATATATTTTGCTGAAATTAAATTGTCAGGTTGTCACAAATTATTAGGAATTAAGGAGAAGGGGAAAGAGTGTAATATTAATTTAAGAATTTGAGATTGGATGAATATAAGTACAGACATGTCACTCCTTAGAGAAACATAAAGCAATAACTTTATTTTCTAAAATGAAAGTGTAATAATATTTATTTACAATTATAACATTTCCATGGCTTCTTAATGCTTTTAAGTAAGAGTCTAAAGTCTCTAACATTCCTGTAAAAACCTTTATAATCTTGGGTACTCTTTACTCCTGAATACCTACAATGAGCTAGGTACAAAGAATAGGTGTTAAAGATGAAAAGGAAAATTAAGACAACTGTCATGGAAGTTAGAGTGTAGTCATTTATCCAATGAATGCACATGAAATGCTCACTTTGTGACATTTATTTGCAAGGCACTGGGAACACAACAGAGATTTTTAAAGTTAAATATCTGCTCTCATGAATGTTATGCTTTAGTGAGGTAGGTCAGTACAACAAGTTAAGTATGTACTGGTAGAAAATTTTAGAAAAATACTAAGACAAACTAAGAGCTGAACTTTCCAACTAGTATACCACAAATGTTCATAGCTATACTATGATATATTGATCATCTGGTGTATCAGAAGTGTCCAACCAGTGTGTCCAACTTGTCCAACTCAAGTTGTCAACATCCAAAGTCACATAGCCTCTGATTATAAGAAGCTTGTTAAGGGCATCTCAGAGAATGGTCTGAGCATGGAATTCCAAATGTACCCATTTTGATTGGGAAGCAAGGAGATTGGGCAGGGTTTTTCTAGTAGGTATAGCTCCAGATAATAACTAACTCAAAGCTCCAGCAACATAATCTGCTCTAAGAATTTATGGTCAGTCTTCAAGCTTTATCATTAATTGATAAAGATTTTTGGAAAAAAACTTGAAACCTTATACAATTCAATAAATTCTAATTTTTGTTGAATGAATAAATTAATGTAGCTATTAGTCAACTATTAAGCCTCTTTTGCAATTTTTTTGTTGTTGTTTTTTATCTTCCCTGTCCACATTAGACATTTTCTCTTTGTGTTTG